CATTTATATATTACTATCACTGAATTAACTAGTTCTATGAATTCGGTGTTTATCTTGTTGTGCTACTGAGGTTTGGCAACTTGAACCGATGTATATATGTCCCTGCTAAAATACAACATTTCTCAACTAAAAACATTGTATATATTCACAATAGCAAGATACCATTCATAACTGAATGTCCACTCTTTCAAAAACAGTGAGCATAGCCAAATAATGTGAAATATTTGAAAAATTCACATCTTTTGTAATTTGGAACAACATAGACATAAGCGAACAATATTGTTTTCGATTAGATCCTTGTATTGTCGGTTATTATGTTAAGCCCATATACCTTATTCTAAGTTTCGGACAGCCCATTCTGTTCATTATGCTTGAGACACATATTCTGATCTTGTTATTTATTCGCTTATCAATCTTGACTGTTTTTATATGAGCACGTAGGTGTGTGTACATTTCTTATCCCATTACTTATCACATGTCTGTAGCCTACTTTTGTGGGACTATAAATATTATTTAACGATTGACTAAATGGAGTTGGCTTATCCGCCTTCTCCACCGTGCGTCGTTTCACTTCTATCTACTACATTCGCCTCATATACAAAATTGTTAGGTAGGCAGAGGAATATACCAACAATTATCGTGTTAAGTCGAATAGTGTCCTTGGACGCTAAATGTACATTCCCTATTGGTCGATATTTACTTCACTTGTTAAATATTGTGAAAATGTTGTTTTCTGTTTTTATGGTACGATGTGGTCTGCTTGATTAGTATATAAACAGAGTATGTTTGAAATATAATGATTCATATCTCAGAGGCTGTGACTTGCGTTCTGGACTCAACTGGCTGGGATAGACAGCGGAGCAGGGCCAATCGGGACTATAAGTCGTTCATTCCGTGTTTACGTGTCACTGTAATCGATCGATAAGACGCTGCTTATCAAAACCTGCAGTCTCACTCGTTACAACAAAAATTATGTGTAATCACGAGTTCATTCTTATTATTCGACTTATTTAATTCCGTTATTGAATAACGCGATTCAAGTCGACGATTATATACGAGGATAGGCGATAACAAAAATCCATACGATCTAATTGGAGTCAGATCCACGAGCCCCTAAATCCTCATCAGACTTTAATATGCAGTAATATTTATATGCATATACAGAATTATAAAACCAATCAAGTGAATGATAACAGTCAAATAGATTATATGTATAAACATAATAAGTACAAATTGGTAGTGTGATGATAGGTGTACTAGTTGTGATGAGCAATAATAAAGGTTTGAATCAATGGTACATAATGGGAAATAAATCAATGATTAAAAAGTTATGAGATTACGTAATAAGAAGTGAGGTTTCGATCTCTTCTCTTTTACACATAGCAGAAGCTATAGGAATTCGAGGTTAACAATTCAAGTCTTTATGTTCATAAGAAATTTGTAACATCCTTATCTCTCCCTTGGTCTTTTCTTCGTACATCTCACCCTTTTTCTTTTCTCAAATATACGCTTCACGGTCCAATTATATTAAAGTTTGATGTGGATCTAATCGAAAACAATATTGTTAGCTTATATATGTCTTTATACATTTTTTGATAGGGTTTTGTTCTCTGAACTGGATGGTTTGGCCGTGGAGCTTTCATCGTTCTTCTAAACGATATCATCAGCACAAACTTCAGGTAGAAGACAGAAAGAAAAGTCAAAAGTCGATTGATTTACTCATCATGATTTTTGTTCGACTAGGGTCATCGTTGTCATCATGTTTTGAGGATTAATAAATCTTTACTTATACCAGTCTTTACGTTCTTACTTTCACGTTATGGAAATTACAGAGGTCCGTCATTTCAAGTATAAGTGATGTGTTTCCGACACAACAATTAACAACGACCACATATAACAATTAACGTTCAATCCACAAGACATATCTATCATAAAATAATGATTCAATAATTCAAGCATATTGTTTAAACACTGAATGTATAATGATCATTTTTCTTTCTCCTTGAATTACCTAGACTTCAATAGTTGCAATCATGAGTCGATTGATGCTAGACCACCATGGAAAACCTGGATGCACTGGACGGCCATCCCGTCCTAGTATGAGACTCCTCAATAGTGCACATCCACGAAAACTATTTTTAGATTTTTAATATATATGACGTTAGGGTGAATATCTTATTTCAAAGTGCATAATATAAACGCACTTTAATAAGAAAGACTTTGAATATCTAAATCTATTTGATTTTCATTTATAAATTTATTCAATAAATCAAAATGACCCATAAATATCGATTAGATTGTGATATGTGAACATGTACCTTCCTAAATGGTTACAGAAACATATAGAATCAATTGATTTAATAAGAGTAAAAGATAAACATCTATCATCTTCTATTAACAAACGCATAATTATTAAAATAGATCATAAGATTGATCTTAACTCGGCTTTTATAATGTTGTATAAAAGTGTAAAAGGGAGTATACTAAGGTTTATTGAAGCTTTAACCATACGAAAATTCAAACTCCCATGCTAGATTCAAGATCAGTTCGCTCTCACCTTAAACCTACCCTTATTATCTGGATGACATTAAGTGGACGGCAATTATGGTTCCCTACCACCCATTTATTAGAAATTGTAGGGTGTGAAAAAAATGGAGGGATCGGTAATTGATGTACTTGTTTTGCATGTGTGTGCTCAGGTGGTAATGAACAAACATTTTGTCACCTTTAATAATTTTGTAATTGGTCGTAAGCTGTTTTCGTCTTTGTAATCTGATTAGTTGAAATCGAAATAGCATCAAGTGCTTTGATTGGATGTCAGAATTTTGTTGAAGGGGTGGAGAAAAATTCCTAAAAAATAATAAATAAATTGCCAGCCACTTAATGATATTCCTCTTACCCCATTTCCAGTCTAGTTGACCTTTTATTTTCATATATAAATGTTCTTAACAAGTGTCGTATATGTGATTAGGTTGTTCGAAATGTATTGCACTAATATATCATCACATAGTTCTGATAATCTTCGTCTTCGCATTGCATTATCGAAATTTATCAAAGGGACTAATTACTTTATATTATTTCTTATTGAATTCCTTCATTAATTGCATTTTTGGGGGGTGTTATTTCGTACTACTTCATACAGTAATTTGGGTTGTTTCAGTGGTTAATATATATATATATATATATATATATATATATATATATATATATATATATATATATATATATATATATATATATATTAGCATTGCTCAAAAAGTACATGACTGTACAATTACCTTATTGTTTCCATGTTGTACTCCCGCCCTCTATATGACCACTTGATAAATCAAGAACATGATGAAATTGTATGTTACTAATTTTATTGAGTAAATAAAGTGTTCTTAAGTGGTAATCAAATTACAGACCTTAATTTCATGGACAATTTTAATGAGGTCAGTTTGTATGTTTACTAAGAGACTAAAAGAATCAAAATTTTCATCGGTTAACAATTAAACAAACAGATGACATCAAAGTCACAATAATCAACATGACAAGTGTTTTAGTAAATTTCAATTGTTAGTTTGTCTATTTGTTTTAATGACAAATAAATGTGGAATCCAAGTTTCAGCATTTGAAAAACTGGGTTGCTGCTTTATATTGTCCATACAGAAACTTACCGAAATATACTGATCTCGTTAATGAACTCAAATAATATACTCGTGGTAATTTTTATGCAACCGTTCATTATCCTCGAATGTACACATTATTGTTCCCCCACTTAATTTAATCCACGAGTTATGACTTTTGTTGTCATACATATGTTAAATATTTCGAGAAATTCGTTGTGAGCCAAGTCACAGGCATTTTTAAGCAGAAATCGATAAACAGAACTACGTCTTCAGCTCTCCTAGGTTACTGCTGATCTAAAGCCCGGATAAAGTAGCTTGCATGCAGCTAAACGATTTCGTTTTCACATATGATCTGGCTCAACTATACAATACAAACCAACAAATTAAGTTGAAGACATCCAATGTAGCAGCAAACTCGTCAGGATTGGGCCTTAGCATGCACAAGGGAAAAGTAAGATCCCTAAAAGTAAACGAACTGAGCACCAACCAAATCACACTTGATGGTGAAACTCTGGAAGAAGTGGACACCTCCATGCACCTTGTCAGCATCATGCATAAACACCGAGGATCTGATACAGATGTGAAGCCGTGAATCAAGAGAGTAAAGGCATGATTCCTACAGTTGAAAGATATCTGAAACTCGAAACAACTATCGGCAACCCAACACCAATGTCGGAATTGTCAACTATGACGTTAACAGTTACTTTTTGTCGAGTTGAAACATGAAGAACTACTACAATCATCATCATCACCATCAAAAATGTACAGGTAACTATAAACAGTTGTCTACACAGGATGCTTCAGATCCCTTGTTCATTGGTCAAGCACCATCGACAATAACCTAGTGTGGAAGAGAACAAACTAGGTTCCATATGAGGAGGTGATTAGGGAGAGACTATGAAGTTGGTGCATATGACATACATTACAGAAATCACCAAGCTGCATCAAGAGGTAAGCGCTTACTATCTGGAGTTGTGAAAGTAAACGGAAAAGAGAAAGGTCAGAAAACGCATTCCGTCGGGAATCGGAGGAAGATATCAGAGGAATGAATAGCACTAGGAAACGACAGGTATAGAGAGCCCAGGATAGAGTTGGTTGGAGCATTCTGGTGGGTGGTCTATTCTCACACGAGAGACCACCTACGTCAAAGTAAATCTAGATGTGTCTACCAAGTCTGCCTATAGAAAAGTTTGAACCTTTAATTTTCAACTGATATCATTTCGTTAGTACTACATTAATTTATTTAGAGAATTTATACCTACGTCAAAGAGGATTTATCACTCACATATATATGGATAACTGTAAATTCATTTCATGAAAAATACCAGAAGTTACGATCTTCGAAATATGTCACATTTCATAAAAGATACATTATCATCACTAACTTACACATCACTTGCACCAACCATTGACGTTTGGCCAAACCATATTCATTAGTTACTACACAACGATAATTTCCAGCATCTGAGTTTTGTACATCGGTTAGATAAAGCTGCGCAAAACAATGAACAAAAACTATTGCATACATTCTAACAATTTAAATGAATAGTTTCGTATGGTTTCAAATCTATGACCGCAACTGTTAATATTCCTAATATGGTAACAATGTGATAATATCAATAGTTGAAATTATGAGTCAATTGAAGCTAGACCACGATGGAAAACCTGGAGGCACTGGACGGCCGTTTCGTGCGGGATCGTGGATGCGTACTGCTGAGGAGTCCCATACTAAGACGAGATGGCCGTTCAGTGCTTCCAGGTTTTCCATTGTGGTCTAGCTTCAATTGACTCATGATTTCAATCAGCGAAATTTCTAACACCTTCACAAAATTCTTTCTGATAATGTGATAATAGCCTGTGAAATTATTGATTTAGTTCAAGTCACATATACAAACATATAGGCTAACTTCTAAGAATGTTTAATAAGAATGGAGAATCTAGTTAATCATCTTCAAATTTTAATACAATTAAAGGGATGCAAATAATACTGTTTCACTTGTAAAAGTAAATAAATCAATCATTAGTATCATCTCAAACTTAAAATCAACTAAGTGACTACTGAAAAAAATCTTGTGAGTAGTATACAACTGTTTGGGAATTCTCAAAAGTTCATATATATCACCCTATACTATACTGAATTCAGAATAATCAGTCCTGCAAATGAAAAAGATAGGAACAATTTGTCATTGTCTACTCATATTGTACTTCTTAGTCATTTTATATTTTCAGAGTTTTTTATTAATGTATTTACATACAGCTGATGAGTCCCCAATAGTAGAAAACGTACAGATTGGAGTCCGATGTTAGCCATTTATCCCAAATTAATTAGGGTTAATATTAACTTGCTTATTTACTTTATTCCTGAAATATTTATAAAGATCTAAATGTAATCACATAAACAAATAGGAAAGCATAATTGCACTTAAATCAATGTGAATAATAAGCAAAGATGGATAGTGGTTAGCATTGCAATCCAGGACTCGTTAGTTGAATGTACCTGCATCCCAGATTTGATGTTCACTCCGCGACTCGAACCCAGTACCGTCTACTTCGAACGCGTTATCCACTTAGATACTGAGTCCTGATAGCCACTTGCTTGTGCGATGGGGTGAAGCTTAAATTCACTTAGTGTTGTTTTACTTGTGTCTTCCCATTGTTATTCAGGACTATAATTGATCAGTCTTATGTTGGCATATTTGCATATGTGAATAATAGTTCCAATTTGTTTGGATTTATGTACCAAATGACTGAAGCATTCAAATTTAGTGAGATGGAAATATCAAAGATTTTATTGACTATTCCATTATTCTACCATCATAGTCATGTATAGTTGACTTAGCTGATAGAATAGAATGACATGTTGTGTATATTAGATTCTTGTCTTGGTTCTTCTCCTTCTTCTTCACAAACAGGTTCAGTATTTATCCCACGCTACACATTATGAGATAAGTAGGAATTATCCTATCATTATAAGTATATCGTTAGTATTTAGAATAACCTTTCTATGGATAGGATAGGATAGGTATGAATTGAGAATATAACGAAAATTCATCACTTATAGAAGATTTGGCGAGACTATAATTTATGGACGAATCAATCAGGTATAGGATGAACAGGTCTCGGATTTCGGCACGAAATTCACTCATCCATTCGGATAAATAGAGTTTTTACATTATAGCTGATGTCCGTTCATGATGAAAACACTAAATCTAATTCCTAACCTTAATGATCAACCGTAAATCATATTTCTAATTCCACACACAGGTTTATAACCCTCATTTGATCGTACTTATTTGGTGGGCAATCCCAAGGTTACTTTAGTGTCACTCAAAGGTCGTCCATAAATTATAGTCTCACCGAAGATTTAATTATTCTTATAATTTTCTTACTTGTGTATCGCCAACGGAAATATTAACATTTGGAAATGTATCAAAGGTAATTATTTCTCCATCTTTAAACCACTCCACTTGAGCTCTTGGTGATGCTTCCCAGTCACATATTAATCGTGTACTAGAGTTTTGTAATACATGTCTTGGATTTTTTCCCTCGGGTCCAATAATTACTGGGGGATCTTATTAAATAAAATTGGCATAATAATATAAGAAACATACAAATATAAGGTTCTTCTTAAATTTCTAGTTAGTAAGAAATTGTGAAAAAGAAAACTATCTTTCATAGTAACTTATTACTGAATTGTTTTCTCTGGTTAGCGTTTTTTCTAGCGAGTTAGTTTTCTACGGGATGGGGTCGCTAACCACATGCTCAACCCTGCTCCTTTATCCAGGCTTCGGGCTGGCGTTATTCCCAGAGGGGCTTCAAGTAAGAATAATTTCTTTAATAAAGATATATCTTTTATATCGTAGTAAAGATTACATTACGAGTAACGTCTGAGACCTATTAATGGACTAATATTATCTATACATTCTTATGGTATAATTATTCAACAATTAGATTATGTATATTTATATTCCTCTTATTATAAGCTTTATTTTGATCTGTATATTATTATTGTACGATTTACTGTTGTGAAGTTATACTCAGCTTATTGATTACTGTCTCCCACGTTCATATACACATTTTAGCTTTACTGTGTATGAATGTTATTTCCTGTTTTATGGTGCGTTGCGATCTGTTTGGTTGATTCGCATAGTGGAGGCTGTTGTTGGGATTCTGGACTCAGCTAGATGGGCTAGGCGAGTAACGGATCAATAGGACGCTAGGTTAATCAGACCGGACGGAAGTCATTGGTTTAGTACAGTATAAGAGCGAATAAGTCGTATTTTGATTAGCGAATAGATTACGTGATAACTAGCGAGCCATAAAGTCACAACAATATCTAAATAATCTAAAACATCAAATAGGTCAAAAGTAATACAATGGATTAAAGTGTGATTATTTTGGTTACAAGAACTGAGAATTATTCGTTTAAAAATCCTCGTCATATTAAAAGACTAATATTTGAACGAAGAATATTCTTTTTGATAACTTCTCTTCAAGTTCTACAATTATCTCATATCCAAATGAATAATCCGAAAAAAATGGTCAGGTTAAAGGCAAAGTACATCGTTTAGAGTTAAAGCATGTGAATTTAGGATTGTGATAAACAAAATACAATAAAATTGTTAATGTTAATATGACTCATATAGAATGTTAACTTGAATCTGCGTATATGTGAAGTGAAATTTTATGATCCATGATCCGAATAAATATGGGTCAAATAGGATGAGCGAGAGAAACAATAGTGCAATTACAATTCGATCAAATAAGTAAGACGTAATACGGAGGGATGAATGCGGAGTGAATGAATTATGAGGTTTAAGACTGCAATTGATCAGTCTGTTATTGGCATATGTGCATACTGTGCATATGCCTCGATATTATCTTAATTCACAAGCTATTTGTAAGCAATGATTGATAGTGGCTAGCAATGGAATTCAGGATGCGCGTTTCGTCCTATTTGGGACTCGTCAGCTGGATGTACCTGCATCTCAGAGTTGATGTTCACTCTGGGACTCGAACCCACTACCATTTGCTTCAAACGCCACTCAGCTACTGAGTCCTGATAGCCACTTGCTTGTGCAATGGGGTGAATTTGAATTCACTTGGTATTGTTTGGCTTGTATCTTCCGATCGATAATAATAATAATAATAATAATAATAATAATAATATAAAGATTTATGAATGAAGGTAAGAGAGACAGGGAGAACGGCTGGCTTAGAAAGTTTATAATTAAATATGATATAACGATTTATCTTGTCTAGATTTATAGTTTTGAAGAAATAGAGAGAAATAAAATCTGTAACTGAAATATTTACTTACATACTAAAGTTGGATCAAATATTCGTTTAATTTCACCAGCTTTATTTTTACCAATACAAATATAACGTGTTATTACACCATAGTCGACATTTGGTAAAATTAATTGTCTACCATTTAAACGTTGTTGTATATTACGATCACCTGGACCACTAGTTGGTAGTTCCTTAATATGTTAAAAAGAAAAATCAAGAAAAAAAACATTTGAGTAGAAACGTGGATAACTACAGTTTCAAAAACTAATATAACTAAACAGAAGCCTTAGATGGTGGTTGGAGGTAGTCGACAGGAAATCCTGGACCCAGGTTTTGTGCTGCTTGGCACTTGTCAGTAAAGTGTACCTGTGATCTTGAGGGAACTGGTGCTCCCTGACGGATTCGAGCCCAAGTCATCCAGCTTCACAGTCAGCGAAGTTACCACTGAGCTATCCGGGCCACGACCAACCACCACCCAGTGATCAATCAATTATGATTATATCTCAGTCCTACAAGAGGTTGGTCGCTGCCCGAATAGTTCAATGGTAACGTCTCTGAATGTGAAACTCGGTGACACGAGATAAAATCCGTCAGGGAGCACCAGTCCCCTCAAGATTACAGGTACACCTTTCTGACGAGTACCAGGTAGCACGAAACCCGGGTAGAGGGTTCATTTAGTAATGATAACTGCTTAGAATAATTTCCAATGTAATAGGTTACTCAACATAAGATTGTTCTCATTTTCAGTGTGATTTTTTATTCAATATGATAACCTTTTTATTAAATTAACATAAATCATGTGTTAGTATGATATGCACCATGCGATTTTGTTGTAATCCTGGCCATTTTATATGAATTATTATCGGAAAGCGGTTTTCTGGATATTATAGTAATTTAATAGTTGAATTCATGAATCAATCCAATCTAAACCACCATGGTAAACCTGGAACCACTGAACGGCCTTTTCGTCCTAGTTTGGGATTTCTCTGCAGTGCGCATCCACGATCTCGCATCGCGGGATTCGAAGTTGGGACTTATCAGTTGAAGTTAGACATTAAAACCGTTAGATGCCGGCTGACCCAACGGTCTAGTGGTTGAGTGTTCGCACGCGAGACTGGTCGGTACTGGGTTAGAGTCTCGCGGGTGGGATTATGGATGCACACTGTTGAGGAGTCTCATAATAGGACGAAATGGTCGTCCAGTGCCTCCAGGTTTTTCATTGTGATCTAGTTTTATTTGAATCATGAGGTCAAACACTTTTCTAATTAATAATCAGTAGGTGTACAAAACTATATAATTGAGTGTAGTTCTTGGCTAGGGTTGTTTTGCTTTATTTAAATGAACAAATTTTCACTTTGGTGATTCACCAGTTCAAACCTCATTTTTGTGTTCAGAAAAAGTATAACCATCCTCTCATTTCACCATAAACTTAAAGCCCTCTTTTTTATTCTGCAGCCACGTGTTCGTAGCCTCTTTATTCTCTTTGTTAGGTGCATAGTCATCTTACATACCTCTCCCCTACATGTTATTTCTACGCTTAATATCCTTTGTCTAGTTACGTAAGCTAATACTATCACTGTTATTAGTCAGTAGTTTTCTTCTCATTTAATAGTAATATCTTGAAAATTAAAGTACATCTTGATGTTCAGTACTTTTTGTTTATTAGCTCATTGCAACTTGTATCTTTTGTAATCAGAAAAAAAAAGTAACTTACATATTCCCAACGAATTTCAGGTTCTGGATGTCCAGTAACATTACACCATAAATGATTTGATTTACCTCTCTCTAATATTGGTGATTCATGATCTAAACCATCAAGAAATCTTGGAGAAGCTAAAAATAAGTTAATGAAAAAGATTTGTGATAATTTATTTGTTAAATGATATCTCTTTTTCTTCATCATCTCTTTCCTTACTAGTAAAGAGAGCTTTAAGTACTAAACTTATATACACTTTTGTTCAAGTTCTGTTGAAATGATCTTGGAGTGTTATATCTAAACCTATTCATGACTCACTTATTTGCTTATGCCTGTTACCCCTCATGGAGGAGCATAGGCTACCTAACAGGATTTATCATTCAACTCACGATTAGACGCTGCAAATCTAGACGAATAAATGAATCTGTTTCATTTAAGGATCGATTTCTCCCTTAAAAAAGTGTGTTTAGGATATTTGCTTTATAAAGAGCAGTTTCTCGTTGTGAACACAGTTTTACCGTAGTTAGTAATGTAGTGAACAAGAATATAAGTGGGGACAACCGAATGTATTTGAATACGGAATTACAGAAGATCTCACGAAAATCTGAGAACTATATAGTAAATAGTTAATTTGCAAAATATCAATCCATTGTCTCAAACGTGACAGTTTTTCTTTTTGCAAATATCAGTCCATCGTCTCAGATTTCATTGTTCACGCATTTTCATACCGATTGCTGTTCGTTCCTGTTCTTTCTCTCTCGATTTTCCATTGAAATACATTATATGCCTGACCGTCACTATATACTACATATGCGGATATAAGTAGTTCACACCATAGTAGGATAGATTTCTTTTCAGATATACAAAGGTTAACATTTTATTCTTTGTAAAATAATGTGTAAATTAAATGAACTTTGTTTTTTTTCCTTCAGAGATTCATTAACTAGATTATTCATGATAAGCATTTGGGAATAATATATAGTTAGTTCTAGCGTAATGACTACTAGAGTAAGAATAAATTAGAAACAGTGAAGAAGGTTTGTAGCTTATGTGAATGATTTTGATGGTGATTTGTTCTCTGAACTGGATGGTTTAATCGTGGAGCTTTCATCGTTCTTCTGAACGACATCCTCTGCACAGACTTTAGATAAAAGTGAAGCGTTCGAATTTCTCCATATATGGTTCACAGCTTGTTCTGTACACCTCGATGTTGATTGGTTCTTGTTCAAAAGAACAATAAAAGCCCCAAAACCAAACCATCCAGCTCAGAGAACAAAACGTCATCAAAATAGTTTAGAAACAAATCTTTTAGCATTATCCTACCTAGTTGTCAAAAGATTTGAGAAAGTTAGTCAGTAGTTCAATTCCTTGAACACTAGTTATTGAATCACTGGAATTCTCATTCCAAGTCAATTAAAAGTTGAATAAGGTCATTTCAAGTAAATAAGAATCAGGAGGTCAATTGTAGCCTAATCTTTGAACATAAAAACATGCTCAGCTTTTCATTCTAGCGTATTCTTAACCCTTTTTCGTCCTTACTCAACAATCTATTCTTATTGGCCACTTAATTATGTGATATATGGTAGTAAAAGTAAAGTATGATTAATTGTTGAATATGGACAAACAACCACAGCTTACGAACTATTAAATATGTGATTTCTTTACTCATCATTGATTTCTACTCTGGACTAACTGTGTATGACTACTTTTAACTGTACCGAATGAAGTAACCTGTAGTGTTAATCTAGTTCTTTATTTTAGGTCACGAATCCTGATTCTGATGTAACGTGATTGGTCTTATTAACGTATTAAAGCATTATCGTGATACATGTAGCAGGAGAAAATATTGTAAACCATCCGTTATATCATTATGTCTTCATATTTATTAATTGCGTAATTGTCTCTTTTTCTGTTGGGAAGATTCCGAAAATTCTTCCGAAAAAGCCAAGAAAGATTCTATAAATTCTGACAAACCCTTTATCCAATCAACATCCAATAGAAGTTTTGCTGGAAACATCTAGAAAGTGAAAAGTCACATGCTACATTCCTGACTGGATGATTATCTATACAGCTACTATAATTAGTAGCGTCCCTGAATTTTCCAGAAGCTTAAGGCCATCTAAAATGCTATAAATACCATAGATTTTCTGTACATAAACGAATCTTCGAAGTAAAGTGTTTCTATCATATTTCGAAGCCTTTTTTCTCAATTTCAAATTTTTGAGTAGTTTTAGTCTGGGAGCTACTAAAAGAGTTTAGGTAGCCGCCGAATCTACCATTCAATTAAAAGATTTCTCACTTTTATGAATTGTAATCTTAATTTTTCCTTATACCCTAGATTATTAAATAATCTCCTTTCTATAAGTAGTATTATACAGTCTAAAAGAAAAATGTTCTTACTGGATTGTCATATGTTCTTCTTTATATTAAAAGCTATTGACTTATACAAAATGACTTACATGAAACTTCAACTTCTACATCCAATCTATCTTCACCGACTGGATTACTAGCCACACATGTAAATCTTCCAGCATCATGTGTTTGAATACCTCGAATTAAAAGTAATCTCCCTTGATCATGAAGTTCATAACGGCTACTTAGATTTGTTATATCTAGACTTGGTGTTGAAAAATCATTTCCCTCAATGGATGACATAGTTAAAACATGAAGACTTAATGGTGTATCATCTTTTAACCATTGATAAACTGGTTCCGGATTTGCTGTAGCTAAACATTGTAAACGTAATTCTTGACCATCATTCACATTTACTTTAGATGGTGAAGATGAATGTTTCAATATACCAGGAGATGCTGTAAAAAGAATAAAGAGTTTGATAATTATCAATAAAAAATTTCGTGGATCCGATTATGAAAGAAAGTACATTCATGTAACTCATGTCTGTTGAGTAACAGTCATTAACACAGCTTACAAAACTCCAATTAATCTTGTAGTATCTGTTATTATGTTAAGTCCATATACAGGCCAATCTACTCATTCTACTTCAGTCACATTCTCACCTTGCTAATTATTCGTTTATCAATTTTCATTGTTTTTATATGAGCGCATATTTGTGTGTACATTTCGTATCCCATTACTCATCACATGTCTGTAACCTATTTTGTGTGACTATAAATAGTGATTGACGATTGACTAAATGGAGTTGGCTTATCCGTCATTTCCACTGTGCGTCGTTTCACTAACACTATTGAAGTCGATGATTATATACGAGGATATGCGACATATACATTTCGACAGCAATCATTCAATAACAATTACTCATACGATCTGATTGAAGTCAGATCATGGGCCACTGAAATGGTGAGCCCGTCAACAACATCATCCGATCTAAATGACGACAAAATAAAGGGCCCTACTAAAATCTAACCATAGGTTTAAAAAAAAGTCATTTAACGTATTTAGAGGCACCTTATTTCTTTTCTCGAAAATACTAAAATACATCCCTATCACAATGATTTAATGAAACACTTATTATTGGACAATAAATTCGAATCTAAGAAATATTCAGCTTCATTCTACTCTACTTGGTAAACCAATTCTACTTTCGCAATCAGATAATATTTGTCAGTCAGTCAGCAACAACGTAGAACTTCGTACGTACGTACATCAGTTCGAGTTACCATTACCACATCAGTACACAGATACAAGTGTCTTTTCAAATTCTGTAGTGATAGAAGTAGTCAAAGTATAAGTAGTAATTGAAAAGATTAAAATTTGAGGATGTTATTCATGGAGTATAATCCAGTGAAATAAATTTGGAAAGAGAAAAACAGGGACATGAAGAATTCAGAAGATTATAATTTGGGAGAACACAAAGAGTGTATGCACTTGCGCCATTGCAAACGATGCTGAGCCATGTTATTCAGGGTCTCTAACCATCGGTTGCTATCATCTCGCAGTCCCCAACCAGGTAGTCTACACATACCAATATGACTCAGTCTACTAGTCAGTGACTTCATGAACTTGTGCCATGTATTGATCTGGCCACCCCTAGCTTTCGTCCACTCTACTCCTATACCACTGAACATCGCACGTTGAGGCAGTCGGTGGTTGGGCATACGTAACACGTGTCCCAGCCATCTCAACTGATGAAGTTTCACTACTTCATCAATTGATTTGCCATCATTACCTAGTACATGTGTGTGTGCGTGTGTGAGTTGAATCAATTGTTTATTAATCTACTCAAATTTACTTACATGTTACTTCCAGTGTATAATGATAGTTCCAAGATCCAGGTATGTTAACTGCTAAACATTTGAATTGACCTTGATCTTCAAGACGAACATTAAGAATCGTTAAAGCTGAACCATCAGAACTAATTGAAAAACGATCTAATGAATAAATGAAATATGAAAGTTTAAAAAAAATGTCAGTAATAAAATTAAAATTTCAGCAAACTTCCATTTATCAATCACAGAAATGTTGATCATATTTTCACCTAGACCTGTGAATGAACCACTTTGTTGTATTTTATAAACTTTTCTCCCTAATTTTTGAAACTGTTTGAAGATTGAATAAAGACAAGTTAATCAAAATTATGATTTCCAAACAATTATGGCAACACTAATCACTTTTGTGATTCAAGTGTTTATTAATAGTTGCCTATGCAAAATACTTCGGATCCATTGACCAGACACTATCAGCAACAACCTATAATGGGAGAGAACAAACCAGATGCCAGAGGAGAAAGAAATCTAGAAGGAAAGCGCAGGAAATGGATAGGACACAAATTGAGAAAAGCACCCAAATGCGTCACAAGACAAGCCTTCACATGGAATCCTCAAAGACAAAAGAGAAGAGGAAGACCAAAGAACACATTACGGTGTGAAATGGAGATACACATGAGAATGATGAACAAAAATTGGATAGAACTGGAAAGGAGTTCCGAGGTGAGAGTGTGTTGAAGAATGCTGATCGGCGGCCCATGCTCCACTGGAAGTAACAGGCATAAGTAAGTAAGTAAATAAAAAAGTAAACAATGTGAAAGCCACGCTGGATAATAAATGTATTCCGTAAATACATTACATGATTGTGATAACCTCCGTCTGCTCATCGCATAATCTAAATTTGTTAAAGCTGCTAATTGTTTTAAATGACACTATTGTGCTGAATAGAACTATCATTATAGATATTATTATTATTATCATTACTATTATTACTATTATATTTAGACGACTAAGTTGGAATCAAATGATACATACATGGTGCTAAAAGTAATCACTGAAACAAAAACTATTGCTTACCTTGTGGCATAACACTATAAATATCTTCTTCATCTTTAAACCATTTAATCTGTGCTGGTGGATTTGAACTCATAACACATGTGAATGTAATATTCCCACCCATTTGTATTGTTCTAATTGTAAGATTTTGTGCCATATTCCTTTCACCAGTTGGTTCTTAATGGTTATATTTTAATATAAAACAAATTAAATGTTTAAAACAAATGGGTAGATAGAATAAACATTAGGAATAAACAAAAATAGCTAGTGGTTAGTAGTGTAATGCAGGACTCGTGTTTCGTCTTATTTGGGACTCGTCAGTTGGATGAACCTTAAGAAATATTTACTGAAATTCAAAAGCGTAATAATGACAAATTTACAATACGGAATACTCTAATTGTACTATCAGTTTGTAAGGCATTGATAATTAATTTATATGTACACTAGAGATTTAAGCAACCATAGGATTTTCTTATCTAGTAATTCTCTTTAAAATAATCTGTTTACCTGTGTATATGATAATACAGAATGATAGTTTTTCGATAAGACTTCCACAAAGCTGTGTAACAACAACTAATCAACAATTTATTATTAATTTCACAGATTGAAATCATGAGTCAGTTGAAGCTAGGCCACCATGGAAAACCTGGAGGCACTGGACGACTGTTTCGTCCAAGCATGGGACTCCCCAGCAGTGCACATCCACGATCCCGCACCCCACGGGATTCGAACTTAGGACCGACTGGTTTCGCGCGCGAGCACTTAACCATTAGACCACTGAGCCGGCATCCAAAGTTGTTAACGTCTAGCTTCAACCAATCCACGAAGTTATTAATCAAAAAATTAGTGTCGGGTAATCAACGATGTTCTACATTGAACACTATCTATGACACTCAACTAGTGATTAATGGTTTGAAAACTTTATTGAAAGAAATTCAGCTACTGAAATTAATTCAGCAGTATAAATCTTCGTTAGGTACATTATCACTATAAACATGACTTGTTTAAAAAAATTTATATAACTTACCAAAAACAGTTAGAATAGTTAGTGCTTGGGCTATTCCTGCTTCATTTTCTGCAATACATTCATATTCTCCACCTTGGTAAGGTCTTGCCGATAAAAGCATTAAATTTTTTGGACCAACTAAGCTAAAATTAAAGGATTATGACGCTAGTAATATACCTGTTTTCATAAACATTTCATAATAAATGAGGCAAGTCTATTTTTATCATTACTAACCTTAATAAACTCCTCATAGACGATGAGACTATAATTTATTGACGAACCAAGCAGGTATAAGATAATAGGACTCGAGTTTTTGCGCGAAATTAACTCATTCATTTTAATAAATTGACTTTTGGTATTATTGATGATGTCAGGTTGTTATGATAGTCCTAAATCTAATTCCTAACCATAATCATCAACTGAAACTCATGATTTTAATCACCCACAATGTTTCATAACCCTCATTCGGCCCTAGTTATTAGGTGGACACTCTCAAGGTAAATGAAGTATCGCTCAAAGGTCCTCCATAAATTATATTCTCATCACTAATTGAATTACACATGACATTAGCTAGACCACTAAGGCTTGGAAATTCTAAGAGGCATACAATTAGTACTCTAGAATGGTTCTTGATACATTAGATATGCTTGTGATTCCTTTTTCAAAGTCAAAGTATGTTCAAACGATATTCAGTGAAACAGTTTCCTAAATATTATCATTTAATTTGAAATTAAATTTTCATTACTAACTGATAACAGGACAATTATGACTGAAAACCAAGAAATACTAAATGGCTACATAACTCTATATTGCAAATCGATTTCATCCCAAAAGTAGAGTACTAGATTCATTATCCAACTCCACCTGGAGTCCCTCTGGGGCTACTGCCGGTTCCAAGTCCGGATAGAAGAGGAGGGTTGACCATGGGGTTAGCGACCACAAGCTATAGAAAACTAACACGCTAAAAAGACGTTAACCAGGAAAATTACTCAGACTCATCATCTACGAGGCAAACCCTAACTTAGAATCCTGAAGGGAAGCGGAAAAGAGGAAGTCCAAAGAACATATTACGTCGGGAAATAGAAGCAGATATGAAAAGGAAGAATAACAACTGAAAAGAGCTGGAAAGAATTACTCAGGAGAGGGTTGGATGGAGAGTGCTGGTAAGCGGCGTATGCTCCTCCATGAGGAGTAACAGGAGTAAGTAAGTATTATTCATTATCAATTGCTGAATAGTATTCTACTCTCACAGATAACTGAAAATAGTTCACGTTGTTCTTCTGATGAAACTTAAACAGAAGTATTACTCCATAGATACTTTTAAAAACATGAAAAACTGTTAGTTTACTTTCCAATTCATTTCCAAGATTTAGCTAATCTAGAAACTGTAGGTGATGTCAGTAATGAATAGGCTTCGAAATGATCATACACTCTTTAAACTCTGTAAACATTTACTAAAATCATTTTATATTGTAATACATTGTTATATCTCAAAAGATTGCCGATTAGAAAGCAGTGACTTATCGATCGGTTCAAGGGATTCAGAATCTCAATAAACTATTCTGGTTAGTTGTCTTCGACTCAGCTAACGCGATCAAGAAGTCTTGGTAAGACGTAGAAAGTGTATTCCACAACAACCAGCAGATACCAGGTCAGGTCAATCAGGCACACAAGTCAAGCGTATTTATACAAATATTTACAATCGATATTGTCATAGTAAAATGTTTTTAAACATCAATCGACAGCCATTCAAATATTTAATCGATAAGTTAATCGATATGATAAAATTACAAAATATGAGTTTTGGGAATCTATCGTCCCCAACAATCTGGTAATCAGTCTTAATCTCAGTAAATCGATAAGTCCCCTTTATTATTCAACTACTATAATGTTTCAGTAACATTATTCAAGAATAACTAAAGTAGACAATGAACACTTAATTGTCTTAGATTTCATTGTTCTTTTAATTCCGTATTTATCATTCTATGTTCTCATTCAATTTTCATTGATCTTCTTAACTTTCTACTTCCAAGTATTTCACTACTGATTGATAAATACATACTACTTATATCTATCGATATCAGTAGCACACACCACATCATATTAATTACAATTTTTCAATCAAATATTTACTTAACTACATTTTTCAAGAGCTATATGATCAAAATTCAAATGGAAGTATTATTCAAACAAAGATAGATAGATAGATAGATAGATGTGTGGATAGATAGATAGATAGATAGATAAGTAGTTGTTCACTTACCGATAACCTGGATCATTGTGTAAATCAAGTGGTTTCCCCTTAAATAACCATGTAATATTCGGTGGTGGACTGCCTGTAGCTTCACATGTTAATGTTATTGTATTATTGACAAATACAACAGCTTTTTCATTTAAACTATCTATTCGAGGTTTTTCTGATCAAATAAATGGTACATAGAAAATGGAATGAAAATATAATTCAATTTAATAGAATGAAGGTTGATGGAGATTGTAGTAATTAATTATTGAGTTATTTTATTTTAAAAGTTGAATTCACGAATCGATTTAAGGTAAACTGTTATTGAAAACCTGAAAGTACTGGACGGCTGTTTCGTAATAGTATGAGACTCTTCAGCAGTGTGCATCTATGACGCTTCACGAGGGACTGGAACCTAGAGCTTTAGGCCTCGCGCGAGAACATGTAAGAAAATAAATTACTTATATTTTTCATCACGTTTAGGGGTTAAATTTTTTTTGAATTTAGTATTCCTCATACTTAACATATTTTTTTAATAATCATGTTCTTTGTCTTAAGTAAATAAATTCCTTCACTCATTTTAGCTTCTAAACGTCAGATGATGCAGTCCCATGGTAGCCGGTGACCAACAATAGATCTATACGCCATTTTGTCCTTCAGGATACTGGAACTCATGTGCATCACTGGTTTGGAATAACCATTTTCAAACTACCCTAGATGAACCCTCCGTATCCAGCGGCCCGGTTAAATCCTCGGAGTTTCGCTTTTCGTCCTCTCAACTTCTTAAACAACACCCCAACCACGAGAAGGCGGTGAAAAGGATTTCTCTGGGAGTGGACTCTCCCTACTCTCGGTCGTACCAGGGCATTTGGGGGTAAAGTACGGGCTCAGCCGGGATTACAGTCAGTGAAATAAACCATGTGAGTAAAATGTGCTGTACGAAAAATATTATGTTGAACTACTTGAGATAGTAGTAATGATAGTAATAATTATAGTCATGAGAATATTATAATATAAGCCAACTGCACTCATTTTAACGATCCTCATTTCTCTGTTTATGATAAATTTTTAAAACCACTCTCTTTATCATGGCCATCAAAGTTGCCATCACTTAAGTAGGTTATAAAAACTTATTCCTTTCTTTCCTACTAATATTTTCTAACTTTTGGTTGTCTTTTAGCTGTTGCATAATTGTTACATTATCATTAATATTGCTTAGGTAACCATTGTAAGATTTATTAACAAAATTTTATCAGTTCTCATTTATTGTTATGTAGTCTATTTTGATGAAGTTTTGTTCTCTAAACTGGATGGTTTGGTTGTGGAAATTTCATCATTCTTTCGAACAACATCATCAGCAAAAACGTCAGGTAGTGAAGTGAAGTGTTCGAATTTCTCCACATCTGGTTCATTTTGACCTTAAACCTGTCATTGTTTACTTCTTTGTTTTTGTTGTATCTCCGATTGGTGTTTTGGACAATCTGTGAATCACATGTGGAGAAATCCGAACATTTCACTTGTACCTGAAGTTTTTGTTGAGGATGTTGATCAGAAGAAAGATGAAATCTCCACGACCAAACCATCCAGCTCAGAGAATAAAACTCCATCAAAATCACCCACCATCTCATCTAATTTATAGATCACATAACTGCATGTTGTGATTCAGTGAATAATGAATATAATTATTAGTTATCTTATTCATAGCTTCATTTTATTACTTTGTTAAGTCGTTCTCAATTATATTCAATATAGTTTTGAATTTTATTAATATAGGGTTTTTTTGAAGATTGAACGACCTTCATCATTTTTTGATTGAGATCATGAACCGATTGATGTTAGACCGCCTTTGGAAACCTGGAAACACTGGACGGTCATTCCGTTCTATTGTGAGAATCCTTAGCAGTGAGCATCCACGATCCCGCTCGCGGGATTCGAACCCAGGGCCTTCGGTCTCGCGCGCGAACGCGAGTGAAATCCTGAAAGCACTAAACAGCTAATTCATAATGTAACTAGTATTGTAGTCGTTAGTTACTTGAATGAACAACCATTTTAGAAATCAAATCCTAAGTGGACTCTCCTTGTCTATCCGAAATAAATTGATGAAGACTGTATTATCTAAAGGTAGGTTTAATCAATTAACATCATCTGAATAGTTTATGAATATCAAGAAATACTGGGAAGTTGTATATTTTTTAGGCTAAAAATTCCTAATAGTAGTTCATTTAAAGTTTAATCCATTCAGTAAATGGATATAAATATTTAAATTCAGTAACATATTTATATTGTGATTGATCAGATAATCGATATTAAAAACAAAACCATAACACTGGTGATCCATTATAGTTTCGATTTTTTTCTCATTCGTTATGGTAGTGTAGTGAAGGAGAACACAGATGAGGACAACCGAATTATATTTAGCATAACATTACAGAGTTACTTGATAAAATGGAAAAAATCATACTACTTATATCGATATAAGTAGCACGCACCACTGTAGTAGTAATGGTATCAATAGTAATATCTGATCTAGAACTTTCAAGTACCAGGTTGTTTACAAATAACCATTTAACTATTAAGTTTAAATGAAGTTAACATCATATTACCTTAAAATGGACTAAATCTCTCTAAAAAAAATAATAAAAATTAAACCTTTGTATCTATATAACGTTTGTTTCTAGGGTATATGTTAAATCAATAAAATTATTCCTAAAAACATACCAAGTAGAATAACTTCATAAGTTAAATCAGTTGAACCTCCTTTATTCATTCCTTTACATGTATAGCTAATAAAGAAAATTTAATAAAAGATACTTTTCATTAAAAAAAAATTGAATGTTTATCAAATGACAACAAACTTAATTAGGTGGAAAATCATAGTCACTTTGGTTAGCATTTTCAAAACAATGAATGCTGACGCAGCACAGAAGCAGTCACTTACTTACTTACACCTATTACTTCTAATAAAGCATAGGACACCGACTAGCATTCTCCAACCCACTCTTGCCTGAGCCTTTCTTTCCCGTTCCATCCAATTTTTATTCATTCTTTTCATGTCTGTCTCTGTTTCTCGGCCTAATATGTTCTTTGGTCTTCCTAATCTCCTTTGTTTAGCTTTGAGGATTCCATATAAGGGCTTGGTTGGGTGAATTCCTCAATTTGTGTCCTATCCACTTCCAGCGCTTCTTCCTAATTTCTTCCTTCACTGAGATCTTGTTTGTTCTCTCCTATAGTAGATTGATTGCTGATATTGTCTGGACAACGGATCCGGAGTATTTTGCGCAGACAACTGTTAATAAACACTTGTATCTTCTAGATGATAGCTTTCGTAGTTTTCCAAGTTTCCACCCCAGTAGACAGTAGAACTGTCTTGACATTGGTGTTGGTGGACTGTTGTTTTGAGTTCCCGATTTTTTCAGTTGTAGATATGCTTCTCTTGCTTTACCGATGCGCGTCTTCACATCTGCATCAGATCCACTGTGTTCATTAATGATGTTTCCCAAATATGTAAAGGTTTTTTACATCTTCCAAGTCTTCTCCGTCAAGTGTTGATTTGATTGTTGCAAGTTGTGTTGTATTGGAGAATCTTGCTTTTCCGTTTGTGTATGTTGAAACCTACTGCTGCTAAGGCTGCTGCTACACTGATCTTCTCCTGCATATTTTGTTGTGTGTACGATAGAAGAACCAGATCATCTGCGAAATCTAGATCGTCCAGCTGCAGCCTACCTGTTCACTGTATCCCATACTTCCTCTCAGATGTTGACGTCTTCATGATCCAGTCGATCATCAGGAGAAAGAGGTAAGGTGTTAGTAATCACAGAAACAGTATTACTACGAAATTGTTTGTGAATTTCATCATTGGGTTGTCAACCAAATGTACTATTTGAAAAATAAAAGTTACTATAAGAAGGTGTTTTATCTAGTGCTACATCAATTTCACATGGACTGTTCTAGCTTCCGAACGAACCAATTTATTTGTTCTTCTTGATTCATAATTTAACCGTCTCAGTTATTCGCTAATTAACCTTGACTGTTTTTATATGAGCGTACTTGTGTCCATTGTTTAACCTATTCATCACATGTCTTTAACTTATTTTCGTGTGGTTAGAAGTATTGAGTTATGTCAATAGTTGAGATCATGAGTCAATTGAAACTAGACTACCATGGAAAGTCTGGAAGCATTGGACGGCCGTTTCGTCGTATTGCAATGCGCATCCGCAACCCCGCCTTGCGAGATTCGAACCCAGAACCTATCAGTCCCGCCCGTGAGCGCTCAACCACTAGACCACTGAACCGGCATCCAATAGTGTTAATGTTTAACCTCAACCAATCCATGAAATTGAGAGATAATCTTCCATTGTACTGAGGTAGACACCTGTTTCTACCCGACATGAAAAAAAATAATAAAATAGCCGTGCAATTAATGTTAACCAGAAACTTATAAGTAGAATTATTATAGTAAAGATACATTTGAAGCTTCAATATTAAAATTATAATACTTACTTTCCTTGTAAAGCAGTACTCATTTCTTGTATAAATAAATCTTTTCTTTCAGGATTCATATTAATTATTTGCATGCCTAAACTAGATGCTATAGTTTCTTGTTGATCATCATTGCTAGATAATGGTTTACCATTCCAATACCATGTTAATTTTGGTTCAGGATAACCAGTCATACCACATTCAAGTTCTAATTTCTGACCTGATTGAACAAGTCGACGAGTAGAAGTTCCAATTGTTGTAATCTCTGGAGGAACTAGAATTTGATATGAGAGAAATAAAAGAAGAATTTTAAAGCAATGAAAGAATTTGCTTCTGTAAGATTGTTGAATTAATCATTAAAATGCTTTCTCATGTTCAGAAATAAGTCATGTATTTTGAATAGGTAACATTCATAATTTTATAACATACTCCAAATATCTGAGAAATGGTATACGATTGTTGGTTTTATATATATTGGAAGTCACAGTTGCAGCTGGATTGAAGCTGGTTTGTTATCTCGCAAAGTAGGCTGTTGCTGATTACATCTGGTCAACAACGGACATTGAGTATCTCGCGTGGACAACTTTCTATAAGTACTTGTACCGTTTTCATGATGGTTGTGGCAGTTTCAACTCCATACTTGACGTTCGTATTGAAGATTGTGACTTTGATGTCGGTTGACAGACAGTTGTTTTGAGTTGCATATGTTGTTTGTTCAATTGTAAGAATGAGGTCCTTCCTTTTCATTTGCATCCGATCCTCCTTGTTTCTCGATAATGCAGCTGACTAGATACGTGAAAGATTCCACAGAGCTTCACCATCAAGTGTGATTGCGCCGGTGTTAGCAAATGAATAAAAATGTCTTTTTCTCACTAACTTTCCGGTATTCTTCGATAATACGTTAACACGATGATCAGACTAGTCACGTTATTTTATATCCAGGATTCACAACCCAGAATATAGACTAGATAGTACTTTGTTCAATGCAATTACAAGCAATCACACTCAGTCACTTCAGTGTAGAGATCAATGACAAGAAGGGAAATCATATATATTCGATAGTCAGTAGGTTAAGTGCCTGTCTGTGCAGGCCCAGTGATCGATTCTATCTCACTTTCGCTGCCAAACATCAAGAACTCTTCTCTGGACTGATCTATTTTATTTAGGTTTAAATGGTCAGTCTCTTATTGACATATGTACATCCTGGGCGGATTGTCTTTATATTGTCTTAAGTTACAAGCATTATCCATATTTGCATATAATGCTTGTGAATTCAGGCAATATCGAGGCAATGCGCAGAATATGCACATATGCCAATAAGAGACTGATCAGGCTTAAATATCAATGGGAAGATTCAAGTGAACAATATCAAGTGAATTAAACTTCAACCCATTGCACAAACTAGTGGCTAACAGAACTCATTAGTAAGTGAATAACGCGATGGCGTTTAAAGCGAACGGTACTGGGTTCGAGTCCTGGAGTGGACATCAACTCGGATGCAGGTACATTCAACTGACGAGTCCCAAATAGGATAAAACGCGCGTCCAGGATTCCATTGCTATTCACTATCCATTTTTGCTTAACAATAACAAATCATTCAATAAAACGTATATTATATATATATATATATATATATATATATATATATATATATATATATATATATATATATATATATATATATATGCTTATAATATTAATTTATGTTTTAGAAACAGGTGAAACTTATCAAGTCAAATAGCTTACTTGTTTCGAATTTGGCTAAACTAAGACTATCTGCTCAACAATCTAGAGAATAGTTTACAATTGAATCCATATGAAATCACTTCCTACATCTCGTAAAATACCCAAAGGGAATAATTGATTCATGTATATATAAAAATCAATATTATTATTACTGACTTACTTAATATTGTTACTTGATAAAATCTAGAATCTATCCCAGCAACATTTTCAGCACGACATTCATATGAACCAGAGTCTTCTTCATTTTTACCACGTATTTCCTAAAAATTTTTCAATGTGAAACAATACTTACTGAAGTAATATTGTGTAATATATATTTGAACATTCATTTAGAATCATTAAAAATTGCAAAGTATTAGATAACGTTTTGATTGAGATCATGAACCGATTGATGTTAGACTAATATTGAAAACCTGATAGCATTGGACAACCATAGGACTCCTCAGCAGTACGCATCCTTAATCCCGCTCGTGAAATATGGAACCCGGGGCTTTCAGTCTTGTATGCGAACACTTAACCACTAGATCAATGAGTCAGCATCCAACGGTGTTAATCTCCAGGGCTTCTAGGTTTTCAATGGTAATCTTACATTGATACATTCATGATATAAATCTAAATTCAACAATTTTCACAACCCTATTACTGAAAAAGAATACGTTTCTTTTATTTAAATCCTCTTCATATGTTCACAGTGTTAATTACGAAATTCAGTTTTAAACAATATATCTTACATATGATTATAATTGGATGAAAAACAAAAGCTTCAACTCATAGAAAATCATTTCATGCATTCCAATTGAACTTACTACAGTATGTCCATGATCCAGAAAATTAATTCGACCAGGAATATGTTCTAATGGTCTTCCATCTTTATACCATGTTACTTTAGCTTGAGGTTGACTAATTGCAATAATACAAGTTAATAAACCAACTTCTTGATTACCCAATTCAAATTCACTACTACCTTCTTTTGATATAACAGGTGGTGCTAAGAAAGAAAAAAGATAGAATTTAAATAGAGCAAGAACAAACGTAATAAATGATCATTGACAACTTTTAGACTGAAGATAATCACATTAAAATTAACTAAAGACTATTTCCATATCCAATAATAAGCAATCACAAAACAGTCACTGACGATCTACTTGATAATCTGAACAACCTATTCCTTCTTATCATCTAAATATTTCAACAAATCGGTTTTTCTTTTGTTTTAGTACATTGCATAACCTATTCAGGTGTGTTTATGAAAAGTTTACAACCTTTCACTTAACCAGTTATCAAAAAAGTACTGCTTATTAATGTTCATGGAGGTAAAGATGAAGAGGGCGTCCGTTTTATCTGATGTAATGGTTTATTTGACCAAGTCATCCAGCTTAAAGGACAAAACTCCATCAAAAGGTTTGTTACATTTTGCTGTACAACTTATAAAAGAGCCTAATCAGAGATATCATGATTACTGGCAATATGCATTGAAAAGAATGTACATTATTCCAGATATCGATTCCTGAAATACTAATATCTAACTAGCAACCATTCATGATTTATCGTCAGGATCGATCAAGAGATAAGAAACGGAAGCCATTAATAATAATAATAAACTGTATGTAATGAAATTAGTTCAGTGAATTTGAAAGTATCAGAATGGATTTCGTGGAGAATTTTAGAAATTTCACTGGTTGACATCATGAGTCAATTAAAACTAGACCACCATGGAACACCTGGAAACACTGGATGGCCATTTCGTCAGGAGATACTCCTGAAGCTCTAGTGAGAAGCCGTCACCAGTGAAGTTCAACCAGGTCTGTTGTGAGATAGGAACTAACTGAAGACAATGGTGTACGGTGGCTCAACTTCGTGGATTGGTTGAGGTTAGACATTAATAACATTGGATGCCGGCCCAGTGGTCTAGTTGGTTAAGCGTCTGGTGCGAGACTGATAGGTCCTGGGTTCAAATCTCGCGGAGTGGGGCGGGACTGTGGATGCGCACTGCCTAGAAGTCTCATACTAGGACGAAATAGCCTTCCAGTGCTTCCAGGTTTTCCATAGTTGTCGAGCTTCAATTGACTCATGATTTCAACCAGTGAAATTCGAAAGTAATTATCTTGACAATATAATTTGTGCATCACTGAGTACATTAGGTAAACACGCACGATTACTTAGTTATAAGGAATCTAAAACAGAAAATCTTTATTACAATGTTTAGGCTATTGAAAGATTAATTTTCTAAGATTTTGAGTAAGATTCCATTTGTTTATATTTCTTCTACTTCTTTATTCTTAATGTCTTAATCTTCATCAAGTTTAGTATTTTAATAAAATAGTTGAATTCATGAGTACTGGAAGGCTGTTTCATCCTGCACATCCACAATCCGCAATGCTAAGGAATTCCATACTAGAACGAAACAGCCACCTAGTGCTCTCAGATTTCCAATGGTGGTCTACCATAGATTGACTCATGAATTCAACCATTGAAATTACTACAATCTCTACTCTGATTTCAATAAAAGTCAAATAACTGACTACTTGATAAGTTTGTTTTAAAAAAAATTTACTTTTAACACTTATTTCAAATTCTTTTGATTCAATTGCATGAACATTAATTGCAGAACATGTAAAACTTCCAGTAACAGCTTCTGTAACTGAATATATTGTCAATGTATATCCATCAGGTGAAATAACAATAGCCGGTCCTATTGAACCCATATTTGATCCATACAATGTCCCGGTACTTGTTCCAGGTCCTTGTGGTAAAATTATTCTACCATCTTTACGCCATTCAACAATTGGTTTTGGATCACCTTCAACTTTACATTCCAAAACTAAATTATCACCTTGTGTCACATCAATTTTACCTCCAATAGATGAATCTAAAAACTTTGGTTTTCCTAAAATAGAATAAGTAAATGGTGAAGATTTGTAGCTCAGGTGGATGATTTTGATGGAGTTTTGTTCTCTTAGCTGGATGGTTTGGTTGTAGAGCTTCTATCTGAAGTTTGTGGTGATGATGTTGTTCAGAAGAACGATGAAAGCTCTACGACCAAACTATCCAGCTCAGAGAACAAAACTCCACCAGAATAAGTAAATAATTCTTCATTTGTTCTTAATAACGAAATGATATTGAGTTCATTAAATTGAATAATAAACTATAGAAATGTTACACGTTGAAATTACATTCAAGAATAAATTAGGATTTTACTGAACTGTTACATGGATAATCCCATTTAAACACTGTTGAATAAATTAGCTATATATAACTTAAATTGATCAAAAGTATTATTTTATTGGCCTAGGATCTGACTCCAATGAGATCATATGTTGATCGCTATTGAATGATTGCTATCGAAATATACATATTAACGATCTTCGACTTAACTCGTGTTGATGAATAACAGAATGAAATATGTCAAATACAAGAATGGATGTTTGAATACATATACTTTGTACACTCATTGATTCGAACAGACAATTAGAGGGACGAAGTGAAGGAAGCGAAGAAAAGAAAGCGAAGCGAGATGGCGCTTAATGAAGAAGGCGTGTGAACCAACTCTGTTCAATCAAGCCTTGATCAATATTTATAGCCAGATAAAAATAAGTTACAGGCATGTGATGAATAGGATATATACAGAGAGACAGAGCAGTTATAGACTTTCTTTGAAAAAAAATATTATAAAGAAACTGATTACTGAATTCAAAGCAAAGATGAATAGTGGCTAGTACTGGTATCCAGGACGCGTGTCAAAAACAGAATTGAAAGAATCATAAAGAATGTAAAGGACTACTGATGGAAGATGTAGAAATAAAGTGTTGATTGTATAGTTTTCATAATTCAAGAAGAATTTCCGTAATTTTACACTAAATATTAAATTGATTATCTCCAACAATTCTTTGTTCACTACAGTTACTTACTTACTTACGCCTGTTACTCCTCGTGAAGGAGCATAGGCCACTCACCAGCATTCTCCATCCAACCCTGTACTGAGCAATCCTTTCCACCCCTTTCCACTTGTTATTCATCCTCTTCATATCTGCTTCCGATTGCCAACGTAATGTGTTATTTGGCCTTCCTCTTTTCGACTTCCTTTCAGGATTCCAAATTAGGGCTTGTCTCGTGATGCAGTTTGATGATTTGCGTAATGTATGTCCTATCCATTTCCATCGTCTTTTCCTAATTTCCTCTTCAGCTGGAAGGTTGTTTGTTCTCTCCCAGGGAAGGCTGTTGCTGATGATATCCGGCCAATGGATGTTGATTATCTTGCGTAGACAATCATATATAAATACTTGTACCTTCTTGATTATGGTTGTAGTAATTCTCCAAGTTTCAGCTCCGTACACTAGAACTGCCTTGATGTCCGTATTGAAGGTCCTCACTCTGATATTGGTTGAAAGTTGTTTTAAGTTCCATATTTTATTCAAATGTAAGAATGCGGCCCTTGATTTGCCAATCCTCACCTTTAAGTCTGCATCTGTTCCTTCTTGTTCATCGATGATGCTTCCTAGGTATGTTTACTACAACGCTACTATATTTTTAGGATGATTAAGCAAGGCTCTTTTATATGACAAGAATTGTATTGAAACGAACACATACATAAATGTAGTTATCACCGACCTTTAGTTTATAAACATTATAGTTCGCTATCATTCTTCTATGTTCAGTTTCTTTTTTTACAAACATACCTCAACATAATGGTAGTGTAATCAGTTGTCTAGTTTCTCTGCTTTAGATATCATAAACATATCAAATCTTAGTTATCTGAATCTCATTTGTCAACTGTCAACAATAATAATTATACCATATCCTGATGTTCCACAGTATACGACTGATCGTTATCAATCTTGAGGTTACATCGACTACTAGTTTATATGAAAGAATGGAAATGTAACATCATTAGTCAATTTGTGAATTGTATTTTCAGCCTTGATTATTTATTAGTTAGATTAATAAATAAATAAATATCTATAATACAAAAGAATCTTTACCTTGTACATCTAATTCAATATCAAATTTAGCCTTTCCAACTACATTGCGTGCAATACAAGTATAAATCCCTTCATCTTCTATCTAAAAGAAAAACAGAATGTAAAATTTAGAGATAACATTGATAATAAGTTGATCTCAGAATGATAAAGAATGATCCATTTGTGGATTAGTTTCTTCTTTGAACGAAAATAATAAACTTAGATTATGCAAATAGGTATGAATCAAATGAAACCTACTAACGAATCGGATAGCATTAAGATCAGTTGGTGTTGAGATGGTGGAGAAGATTTGTAGCTTAGGTGGATGATTTTGATGGAGTTTTTTTCTCTGAACTAGATGGTTTAGTCATGGAGCTTTGATCGTTCTTCTGAACGACATCATTAGCACAAATTTCAGGTAGAAGTGAAGTGGTTCACAACTTGTCTTGAAGTTTGTGCTAATGATGTAGTTAATAAGAACGATCAAAGCTCCACGACCAAACTATCCAGTTCAGATAACAACAATTACATTGTCAGTTGATTCTAACTGGCACCGATATCACAATTTCAACAAATAAACTATACTTCTATAGAGGTTTATATCAACCACTTATTGATAAGTAGGACAATATTTCATCAGTTTTTATTGATATTGAGTTTCTTGAGCATATCAAAATTTAATATCAGATGGGTTTTGTGGATATTTTAGTGACTTCAATGGTTAAGATCATGAGTCAGTTGAAGCTAGACCACCATGGAAAACCTGGTAGCACTGGACGGCCGTTTAATCGTATTGTGGGACTCCTCAGCAGTTCGCATCCACGACCTCGCCTCTTGAGGATGTGTCGCCTAATTTCGTGGATTAGTTGAAGTTAGACATTTACGGTGTTGGATGACATCTCGGTGGTCTATTGGTTAACTGCTGTGGCGAAAAACCAGTAGGTTTTGGGTTCGAATCTCACAGGGGCGAGGTCGTGGGTGCGCACTGCTGGGGAGTCCCACAATAGGACGAAATGGCCTTCCAGTGCTTCCAGGTTTTCCATAGTGGTCTAGCTTCAACTGACTCATGATCTTAACCATTGAAATTGCATATCCCAATTGTCAAATGATTTTATATGAAGAATAATAAAGTTTAATATATGTGATCAAACTGTCTAAAATATGTAGCTAAATTACATCGAATTTTCCAGATCAACTCCGTACTTCCATTGTCTTATCAAAACTTGTAAAAGTGACCAGTTACATTAAATATCTTAGTATTATCAAAATAGAGTTGTGGAGACTGTTGAATTTTAAATAAAGTCATGATCCGATCAATGTTAGACTAACATTGAAAAGCTGGAACTACTGAACGGCCATTTCATCCCAATATGGTACTCCTTAGCAGCGCTCATCCACGATCCCTCAGTAGGGACTCAAATCCATAAATTTGTGCGTCAGATGGTGGGTATGGAAAATGCATGAGGTGGTGGAGTTGAAATTGGGTTTGTGTGTGTCTGTGCAGATTGTGTTTAAAATCAATATGGTCATATGTGGTTATTTGAAGAAACAGTCCAGGTTAGATGAACAGTCAGGCTTTCCTTCCTCCTATTGAGGTCAGAGAGATTGATCCCTATATAAATCACTTCGGTTATTCTCCGCCTTTTATAGATGGAAGAATCTTTCTGAAGTATTTTGTAAATAGCGTGTACTAATATTACTGACCTGTAAATTTTTCAATTCTATAGGATTATTATCGCTTTTGTGCAACTTACGTATTCCTTGACACGAGTCATGATCTCACAGGAAGACTCTCTAATGTAGAACGCATTACATTCGACATAACTTATTATGCAGACACAATTTTGGATGGATGTAAACGTTATCTCATCTTTTATTCTAACTAAAACGTTTTTAAGAGTAATGGTTGTCCTATAGAAAGCTCTAATTTCACAAGTTTTCAAAATCTGTTGTAATTCTTTTGTTTTACCTTGACATTGAAGCAAAACTACAGTAACGATTTAAGAACTTTCATAAAAATTGTCGTTTAAAGTAGGATAGTTTTGTTTTAATTTATTTTTGCGAATATTAATGGGAAAATTATTAACTTGTAAGATAGTTAACATATATAATCTTTATCTTTCAGCTTGTCTTCAGATTTAATCATCTTGAGAGCTCTTCTGAAAAGATATGAAGAGTTAGGATCAATACACTGATTTGAGTATGTTGGTTTCCAATATGTGGTTATGTTGTTACATCCCGATGAGAATAATGAACAATAACTTTTGGGATCCATTTATGGACCAATACTATACGTATTGTATAATTGTTAAGTAAATAAACTATGCATATTCATGTCCTTCTTATCATAAGCTTTATTTTGACATACAGGCTATTATAATGCGATTTACCATTCTTGAGTTCTACCCAGTCTATCAAATACCATCTCACATTCATAGACGCTTTTGGTTAAATCTTGTGCAAATATTGTTTCCTATTTTATGATACGATGTGGTCTGTTTGGTTGGTATATAAACCAAGTATGTTTGAAATAAATGATTCTCATATTCGAAGCTGGTATTAGTGTTCTAGACTCAAAAAACAGGGCTAGACAGAAAAGGGAACGATAAGTGGGCTGAAAGAGCAAACGACCAATAAAGAGGCTAAGCTGCTCATACCAGTCGAATGTCATTAGTTCAGCACAATATTAAAATTGTATAATTCGTATTTCCATTGACCAATAAATCACATAATAACTAACCAGACTTCAAGTTACAACACTATTGATACCTATAAATTTTACATTGATCTACTTAAGTAAAATTATCAGTTTAGGGGTTGTGAAAATTGTTAAGTTTTTGATTGAAATCATGAGTTGTGGATGCACAATTCTATGGAGTCCCACAATAGGACGAAACGGCCGTCCAGTGCTTCCCAGGTTTTCTATGGTGGTCTAGCTTCAATTGACTCATGATTTCAATTCAATATATACTTATTAATACATTCAAATCAATAAATACTTACTTCTATATCACGTATAATTAAGTTAAATCCATCTTGATAATATTTTTCACTTGTTCTAATATCAATAGGTTGATTATCTTTTAACCAAATTACAGTAGCAGCTGGTTTTGCATCAAGTACATTACAAATAATTTGTTTTTCTGTTGTACCAACAAGAACTAATTGTTTTGGTTGTGTAAATGATATAGATGGAGCTTCTGAAATAGTTGAAAAAACAAAACAATAGAACATTATTGTTATAATTTGTGGTTTTATATTCATGATTCTTTGTTTTACACCCTGTCGCCAATTGTTATTACAATCGGTTTTAATTCGTCTCATGTTATAACGGTTGGGTTTCTACGGTTACACGTATGGGATATTAATTTACCTTAAATATCTATTTATATTAGATCTTCTCCCAGTGTCTATTCTACACGACTTCAACACAACTCAGATCAAGAACACGTGATTAGCCTGACTACAACGTAAATATATTCCCACATCAAAACACAACACAATCAAACAATCATTATTAAGTGAGTAATAATAAGGATAGGGGAATATATAACTCATCTGACATCTGTCAGACTATCTACATCTCTGATTAAGCAGACAACCAATCATTATCATTCTCACTCACACATCAATCATGAAAGATAAAACTTATATGGTGATAAATTCAAAGCCGAAGAAATTTTTATTTATTAGATTAGACATAATAACGAATGATACATTATTCTTACTTTAGGGAGTATGTAGTGATTACAAAATTTTTATAATATATACCAATGATGATCAGTGGTAAACAGGAAGCGTTAAATTGTGAGATCTGAGGATTCTGAGTTTGATTACTAGTGAGGTCTTGGATACCAAGTGCTAAAGAGTTTTATAGTAAAATAAAGCACTAAAAAGGAGCTTACATACATGACATGCCAGTCACGCACCGTTTAGCTCGACCGTAACGTCACTTACTGTGAAGCAGGGTGACAAGGGATCGAGTCCGCCAGGGAGCATTTGTTTTCTCAAGATTACAGGTACACCTTACTGACGAGTACCAAATAGCATGAAACCGAAGTACAGGGTTTCTTGTTGATTATCACTATCTTAACTGTTAAAAATATCCTGGTTCTTAATAGTTCTGTAACTATGATTAGTCTATGAGGTAAACTCTGAGACATTTCATTAACCAGATAAAGTAGTTTTCTCAAATAATTTTTTTTTCAATTGGAGATAGTTAACAGTATGTTGGTTAGAACCTACAGGTATACAGTAATAATAATCACCATCATCAAGAAGCTACAACTATTTATAAACATTTATCAACGTGAGATACTCAGTATTCGTTGGCCGGATACCATCAGCATTAGTCTACTTTGAAAGATAATAAACCAGGTTGTAGATGAGGAAGAAATTAAGAAGAGACTATGGAGTTGGTGGATAGGATATAAATTACGGAAACCACCAAACTGCGTCATGAGGCAAGTGTTTATACCTGGAATCATGAGGGGAAACGGAAAAGAGGAAGGTGGGAGAACACACACTAAGTGGAGAATCGGAAGCAGACATGAAAAGGACGAATAGCAACTGGAAACGATTAACCAGGATAGTGTACGATGGAGAGTATCAGTGCGCCACCTATACTCCTCAACGAGGAGTAACAAGAGTAGGTAAGTAAGCACTAATAGACAAAATATACTAGTCTTATTCTAATTTTACATCATTATCATTCATGATCCCGCATCGCGAGATTAAAACCCAGAACCTATCGGTCTCGCACACCAGCGCTTAACGACTAGACCACTGAGCCAGCCGGCATCCAACTTTAACTATTTCACGAAATTGAGCAACACGTTCACCATTGTCTTCAGTTAGTTACTATCTCACAACAGACCTGATCAAACTTCACTGGCCACTACTTCTCACTAGATCTTCAGGAAATACCTCTTGAAGCCAGTCACTAGTGACCATATGTTGATTAATATTAGAAGACGTCTTGTGGATATTATAGTAATTTTAATAGTTGAGATCATGATTCAATCGATGTTAGACCACCATGGAAAACCTGGAAGAACTGGGCAGCCATTTCCAGGTTTTCCATGGTGGTTCAGTTTTAATAGATTCATGATAACAAACAAGGATCGTAGCAACTATCAATTTCTATGAATTAGAATGCCTAAATACTCATACTGAATGCCAATTATCTATCATGAATAACTGGTTAATATAAGTAATAAATTATGAAAAATTTATACAGTAAATCTTTGTTACATAATCCTTTAAAAAAAAAAGAGAAAACAAAATAACCGTTTAACAACTTACTTGTGCCTCCGATTTCAACGGTGACTGAATGACTCACTTTACCATACATATTAACAGCTTCACAAACGAAAACACCTCCATCTTCCATGTTTACATCTAAAGGTACATTGAAAGAAAACAAAAATCAGATATAACTTTGGACAATTAATCCCTTTTTTGTTCTAAATGCATCAAAGTTAACAATCGAATATACTCATCATTGTAATTTTATTCTCATAGATAAATAGTAAGTGAAATTCCCCTTTGACTATCTATGTGTATTAGGGTGTTTATATAAATATATATAATAATAAAATCAAGAATAATGTGACTATACAAAAATGTTTAGTTGAAATCAATTTCGTCAATGCAGATTGAAATAGGTTTATTCATTTTGAAATCGACCAGAGTGAAATCCTGGAGTGAACATCAACTCTACGATGCAGGTACATCCAGCTGACGATTCCCAAATGGGACGAAACGCGCGTCCTGGATTTCAATGCTAGCCACTATCCATTTTTATTTATATAGTGAGACTTAAAGTTGAAAAAGAATGATATACATCTAACAATAAATAGATGTTTTTTGATCTTAAGTCTATATATTATCTAGAAATATCAAAAAAGTATTATTACTTAAATACAAATAAGACGTCCAGTTCTTCCAGGTTCTGCATAGTGGTCTAACATCGATTGAATCATGATCTCAACTATGAAATTACTATAATATCCACAAAACGTCTTCTAATATTAATCAACATATGCTCACTAGTGACTGGTATCAAGAGGTGTTTCCTGGAGATCTAATGAGAAGCAGTGACCAGTGGCGTTCAACCAGGTCTGTTGTGAGATGGTAACTCACTGAAGACAATGGTGAATGTGTCGCTCAATTTCGTGGATTGGTTGAAGTCAGACATTAACACCGTTGGATGCCGGCATAGTGGTCTAGTGGTTAAGTGCTTGCGCGCGAAGCCAGTAGGTCTTGGGTTCGAGCCCCGCGTGGTGCGGGGTCGCGGATCCGCACTTCTGGGCAGTCCCATGGCGGGACGGGACGGTCGTCCAGTGCTTCCATGTTTCCAATGGTGGTCTAGCTTCACCTGACTCATGTTTGAGGGCTAAAATATTTTTCCTGCTTGTTATATTGTGCAACCATAATTACACGTGAAAACAAATATATGGTCTTCAGATTCTACAGCCAATATACATAAGATGAAGTTGCGCCACCGTACACCATTGTTTTCAGTGATTTGATGTCTCGGGATCATGGATGCACACTGTCAAAGAGTTCCATACTAGGACGAAACGGCCGTCTAGTGCTACCATGTTTTCCATCATGGCCTAGCTTCAGTCGACTCATGATTTCAACTAGTGAAATTTCTAAAATTTCCACAAAACCTCTTCTGATACATAAGATGTCTTAAACTAGGCAGAAAATAGACGATCTACCCTAGCGTTCAGTGGTTCACTAGACTTAATTGATTTCTTATATAAACTATCTTTAGAAAACTAATCTTAGGATATTTTGTTTTATATCTTCAACTTATGATAATACTAATCCAAAAGTTATATATAAAGGCAACTTCAAGGTATGCGATATACACTTGAATAATTTACTTACCATGTATTAATAAAGAATTATCAGCTTGTAATATATAACGATTACCAAAATTTAATGGTATATTCCCTGAACCAGTAACACGATACCATTTAACATTAGGAAGAGGTTGACCAGTTATTGGACAACTTAAAGTTGTATCCATTGAAAATTCAGCTAACACTTTTGAATTTGTAAAATCTGTAAGTACTTTAGGTGGAACTAAAAAGTAAACAATAAAGGTCGATAAATCAATAGTAGTTATAGTCATCATTATAGCTGTCAAATGTTGACCAATTTCCACTTTACTTCTTACCTAGGTACTATCTTCTATTATATCTCACTTGAAATGCTTATTGTTATGAAGGATACCATATCACCTGGACAAAATTGATGAGTAAGAGTGTTGTTTAGTAAGAACATATATGTTAGTCAGTTAGTCACAGGATGAAGCACAGTTGTGCGTCGGTTTAAGTTGCCATACCTCATTAGCACAACAAGATGAACACCGAATTCATAGGAGTAATTAAATCAATTATAGTAATACACAAAATAAAGATTGTGTCTAAGGATGTAATACAGGAAGAAAAAATTAGAAAGAAAGGTATAAGGCAATTTTAATCTCACAGTTTAAAGGAAGATAGAGAGTGTATATACCGATGCCACTGTGATCAATTCTGAGCTATGTTGCCAAGAGTCTCCAACCATTGGTTACGATAGTCACGTGGATCCCAACCAAGTATTCTGCATCTACCAACATGGCTCAGACTAGAAGTTAGTGACTTCAATGACTGATGCCACATTTTAGTTTAGATGCCCCTAACTTTCTTCCAACTGTCTTCAACACTCGTCAGCGCTGCAGGTCGTGGTATTCGGTGTTCAGACATACGTAACATATTTGTGACTTCAAATACTAACTACTTTTTTTAGAAATCGTTGCCTTTTGATAACTTGACGAATAATTGTCTAAAAAAGCAGTGTATAAACACGAAACTTATGATTAGAATAGTACTTATTAAATACATGTATAAGTTGAATGGTTGATCTATCAGACGTAGATAAACTTCAATTAACAAATAAAAATGATGCTGGTGTAAATGTGCTACTTATATTAAAATAAGTAGTATATAACACGAGTCAAAAATATGTCTGGCAGCAGAAGATTTAGAAAATCAAGGAGGGAAGAGCAGCAATAGAAAGCAACTAGTATGGAAATGCAGGAACAATGAAGTCTGAGATAGGTAATGAACATCTTTTAATTAGGGTATGGTTCTTCTATTTTACTAAGTAACTCTGTAATTTTGTGTCGAGTATGGTAAACAATTCCCATTAATAATTTCTTTCTGAATGTAAACAGTCAAAAAAATAACTTACATCCAACATCCATTAGTACAGATTCTCTTGTATAACCAGCTATACTTTCAGCAAGACAGGTCCATTCTCCTTTCATATCTTGACGAACTGAAAGTAATTTCAGTACTCCTCTTTCTTCATCAATATGAATTCCTGGACTACTAGTAACCTTTTGTTTTAAGAAAAAGAAGAGTCAACAATATTTCAAAGCATTTCATGCATTCAATTTTACTAGCTGGAAATTACGACATTCAGTATAGACGACACGACTGATTTGACCTATAGTTTATTAAATCATGCTCAGAGATACTGCCGAATCCAGATAAAAAGATGCCTTGGGGAATAAAGAGGCACTGTCCCTTTACTTCATTATATAGTGGATTCAGTTCCAAGATAATTTCTCTAAAATCAATTGTTTGAACTACTCAAATCCCAACTTTGTTTTCTAAGGATAGAATCTTATCATGAACAATGGAATAACTATTTGACTACATCTTGAATAGTGAGTAGCAACAGTCCCCAAGTAACGCGTTTCTTCATATACAGGACTTGTCAGTCTAACGTTGATGTTTATATTGAAACTCAAACCTGTTATTCGTCGCTTGAATTGTCAACATGTTACCAGCTAGATTACTAGACCAGGTTAGGTGTTTGACGGTTATCATGATCTAGGCACATGCAGCTGATAAGTTTCTGGCAGAACGAAAATTTCCTCCTAAATCCCGCTTCCAGACATTGTTCCAAATGGTTAACTTTTAGCCAAAAACAAGGTCCTTTTATACCAACAGAGAATTATCAAGTACAGATTCTCATAAATAAGCTTATTGACTTGTAACTTCTTCGTAATGCATTATGAGTAGAGTAAATCTTTGTTCTCTAGGTTCACTCATAAAATCAGTTCTCTGTTGAAGCAATACTCTCTACTAATTATTAAACATTGATCATATTTAGTATGTTGGGTTGTATTCTGTGTAAAATAAGTTTGATTTTGAAGTATGCTTAAGTTAAAAGTGAAAATAATAAGTTTACATTTTTCATTTCCCATTTGTCCAACAACAAGAAATCAATATAAATTCAAATATAGGAACGGCGGTAAGTATGTACAGACTAAATTAGAAATCCCTTATTTCACTGGTTGAAATCATGAGCCAATTGAAGCTAGACCACCATGGAAAACCCGGAAGCACTAGACGGCCGTTCCGTCCTAGTATGGGACTCCTCAACGGCGCGCGTCGACGATCCTGCCCTCCCCACGAGATTAAAACCCAGGACCTATGAGTCTTGCGCCAGGTGCTTAACCAACTGGACCACTGAGCCGGCCGGCACCCAACGGTGTTAATATCTAACTTTCGTGAACTAGTTGAAGGTAGAAATTAACACCGTAGTATGCTGGCTCAGCGGTCTAGTTGTTTAAGCGCTTGGTGCGAGACTGATAGGTCCTGGGTTCGAATCTCGCTGGGGGCGAGATCGTGGATGAGCACTGTTGATGAGTCCCATACTAGGACGGAACGGCCGTCTAGTGCTTCCGGGTTTTCCATGGTGGTCTAGCTTCAATTGACTCATGATTTCAACCAGTGAAACTTCTAAAAATCTCCACGAAACCCATTTTGATAATAATGCGTTATATTGAAGATAGGTTTCTTTAATCTGAAATAATGTTCACAGACTTCTTACCCTGATAATAATGATATTTTAATAGATAAACTTTAATGACGTAGCTGAAATACGTTGTGAAACAGTTGCTCACTGTTGGTAGAGTATAAATAAATAGCCTTAAAAGTAAGTCAGTTTTCTGACAATGATACACTGGCCATGAGGGAGCAAAACTCTAAACTCTATTCTGTTAAAGGTTATGAATAGTTCTGAATCAAAAGGAAATAGTTGTTAACTGTAATGCTTATTCTCATTAGTTTCTCAATTGATGTCAGTTACGAACTATGGCTATCATTAACTTCATCTAGTTTCCCTAAACGTTCTTAAATTAAGGTTAAATACATAGTTCTCATTCTATGATTGCATAATAAAATAAACTTTTTGGAGGGATCAAATACAAAATACACTAATTATGGCATAAAGAATATATAACTTACCGGACTTCCATTAAAATCCCATTTTACTTTAGGTTTCGGTTTACCAGTAACATGACATGTAAATATTTGTTCTTGACCTTCAACTGGCAACAGACTAGATATTTCTAGTTTATCAATTTTCGGTGGTGATATAAAGTTAGCGAGAATATTGATTGTACGATTACCAGCTGAATTAATAGCTATACAAGAATAATTGCCCGCATCACCGGATTTCGCTGGACGAATAATTAATCTTGACTCCTGTGATCAAGAAAACAGTAGTTTATTATAAATAAATTGGACAAAAAGTAGCTCACTACGAGTTGAACGGAGTAATGAGTGTTCTCATCGGCTATTTAGCTCAATAATGAAATATCTATGACTTATAATCCAAATTATATAAACAATTAAGACTCAGTAGCCAACTGTATAACGTGATGACGTTTGAAGCGAATGATGCTGGGTTTGAATCTCTGGGTGAACTTCAACTGTGAGATGCAGGTACGTCCAACTGACGATTCCCAAATAGGACGAAATGCGCATCCTGAATTCAACTGCTAGCCACCATCCATCTTTGCTTATAATGTTTGTGACTTAAGGCAGTATCGAAGCAATGCACACAATATGCATATACGCCAATAAGAGACTGATCAATTGCAGTCCTGAACATCAATGGGAAGATTCAAAGAAACAATACTCAGTGAATTCAAATGAGTTACAATTTCCACCAGTCAATCTATAACCATATTGGGTTTTTTCTGTCGGAAAACTAAATATTATAACTTCTATGCTTGGTCGGTTACCGTATAGCTTGCAATAAAATAAAAAGATGAGTTCAATAGACAAAAAATGTTTCTCTGTTGATCTATTAAGTTACTCAAATAATTCTTTTGGGGTCCTCACCTATGAGAATATTAATCAATACATCTGATGAATCCTAATTTCTAGGACACGAACATATGTTGAACTAATAAATTTCACTTAAATTTAGTTGCAATTATAATATTACTCTAACCGTAACAAGTTACGGATAACTCCACCTGGAGGCTCTCTGCGGCTGCTGCCGGCCTCAATCCAGGATAAAGGACTAGGGTTAAGGATTGGGTTAGCGACCTCATCTCTTAGAAAACTAATTAGCTAAAAAACGCTAACTAGAAAAAATAATACAGCACAACACAAACCAATCGAACCACACTTGACGGAGAAGACTTGGAAGATGTAAACACGTTTACATATCTGGGCAGCATAATTGATGAACAAGGTGGGTCTGATGCAGATGTGAAGGCGCAGATCGGTAAAGCAAGAACAACATATCTACAATTGAAGAACATCTGGAACTCAAAACAACTGTCTGTCAACCAACACCGAGGTCAACATTTTTAATACAAATGTTCTACTGTATGGGGTGGAAACCTGGAGAACTACAAAAGCCATCATCCAGAGGATACAGGTGTTTATTAACAGTTGTCTAAACAAAATACTTCGGATCCGTTGGTCGGACACTATTAGCAACAACCTATTGTGAGAAAGAACAAACAAGATCCCAACGGAGGAAGATATCAGGAAGAGTCGCTGTAAGTGGATAGGACATACATTGAGGAAATCACCCAGCTGCATCACAAGGTAAGCCTTCACATGGAATCCTCATGGCCAAAGGAAAAGAGGGAGACCAAAGAACACATTACACCGGGAAATGGAGATAAACATAAGAAAAATGAACAATAATTGGATGGAATTAGAAAAGAAGGTCTAGGACAGAGTGTGTTGGCGATTTCTGGTCGGCGGTGTATGCTCCATTAAGAGTAACAGGCGCAAGTAAATAAGTAAGTAAAAACAAGTTATGAATAGAATTTCATTTACTTAAAACAACTTGAATAAAACATCCCTAAATAACTAAATGAATCTTTTAAATCGTAGCTCAACTTGAGAAACATTTCAAAATATTAAAATACTAATTACAATGAAATTATTATTAATTTTTACATACAAAATATTCTTCAATCACTGTTATACGTTGATCATCATCAGTGGATATTGTAATTGGTACATCATTATATGCCCAAATAATTTTTGGTTTTGGTACTCCTTCTGAACGACAACTTAATACAAGTGAACTACCTTCTTTAAATGTTACAATTTCTTCATCTGTATTCACAACAGGACGTGCTGTAATTTAAACGAAAATAAAAATAAAACTCGGATTAATGAGTTCACTTGGTATAGTTGAATTGTACCTTTCCATTTTTATTTAGGACTGCAATTGATCACTCTTATTGACATATGTGAATATATAAATATAGCCAAGACGCGTGTTTCGTCCTATTTGGTACTCATCAGTTGGATGTACCTGCATCTCAAAGTTGATATTTACTTCAGCGCTCGAACCCAATACTTTTCGCTTTAAATGCCATAGCGTTATCCACTTAGATACTTAATCCTGATAGCAACGTGCTTGTGCGATGGGTTGAAGCTTAAATTCACTTGGTATTGTTTTACTTGAATCTTCCCATTGGTGTTCAGGACTGTAATTGATCAGTCTCTTATTGGCATATATACATTCTGTGCGAACTGTCTCAATATTGCCTTAATTTTCACAGGCTTTTTTAGAAGCGAAGATGAAGAGATTCAGTTACATCCAGCTGACGAGTCCCAAACAGGACGAAACGCACGTTTCGAATTCCACTACTTGTCACTATTCATACAAAAAAATTATGTACTGGTCACTTAGTGATACAAGGACGAATGGATTTCACTAAATCGAACTTGGAATTGGGTAGTATGATTATGTTTAGTACCTATTATTAGTCGAAATATGATTAACGAATAGACTAACTCATTATCATTATGAGATATATTCGGTCTTCTGTGACTAACGACACTCTGATGTCGATTGATTACATTCGTAATCACTAATTATGAATAACTCTTGAATGGCATTACGTGGTCCTTAATCTTGTTTAGTTTATTCTATATTTTGTCCTTAAATGTGTCACTTTATTAAGTCAGTATACGATATTCATTGACAAGATGTTCTGTTTTTCAATATTTATTCATCTCGAAAAAATGTGCATTCCATAAGTGATGGTCCTCTTAACCTAGACAGTAAACAATTTGATAGAAACTATATAGAGACTTAGTAAAAACTAGTATGTTCTTATTAGTTATTTAT